ATCCAGGAGTGGGGGGTGGTTCACTCGAGGGGTCCACAGGGCCTGGGTACAGGAGTTTGGTCCTATTGGGATCCAGGAAGTGGGCGGGTGGGCTCGTCCACTACGAAGGAGCCCCCCAGCCTAAGGGGAGATCCACAGGGCCTGGGATACAGGAGTTTGGTCCTATTGGGATCCAGGAAGTGGGCGGGTGGAGCTCGTCCACTACGAAAGGAGCCCCCCCCAGCCTAAGGGGGAGATCCACAGGGCCTGGGATACAGGAGTTTGGTCCTATTGGGATCCAGGAAGTGGGCGGGCGGAGCTCGTCCACTATGAAAGGAGCCCCCCCCCAGCCTAAGGGGGAGATCCACAGGGCCTGGGATACAGGAGTTTGGTCCTATTGGGATCCAGGACGTGGGCGGGCGGAGCTCGTCCACTACGAAAGGAGCCCCCCCCAGCCTAAGGGGGAGATCCACAGGGCCTGGGATACAGGAGTTTGGTCCTATTGGGATCCAGGACGTGGGCGGGCGGAGCTCGTCCACTACGAAAGGAGCCCCCCCCAGCCTAAGGGGGAGATCCACAGGGCCTGGGATACAGGAGTTTGGTCCTATTGGGATCCAGGACGTGGGCGGGCGGAGCTCGTCCACTACGAAAGGAGCCCCCCCCAGCCTAAGGGGGAGATCCACAGGGCCTGGGATACAGGAGTTTGGTCCTATTGGGATCCAGGGAGTGGGCGGGCGGAGCTCGTCCACTACGAAAGGAGCCCCCCCCAGCCTAAGGGGGAGATCCACAGGGCCTGGGATACAGGAGTTTGGTAGAAGGCAAATATACTGGCCGCTGGATGAACAGTTTCCTGTTCCCTGAGTGACTAGAGCAGGGGCTGCACTACAGCAATCAAGAACCTGCTAGAAACAATTAAGACAGGCAAGCTAATTAAGACACCTGGAGCCAATTAAGAACATACTAGAATCAATCATGGCAGGCAGACTAATAAGGACACCTGGTTAAAAAGGACCTCCCAGCAGTTAGGGGAGGGGGTGCAAGGAGCAGGGAGTGAGAAGGCGTGCTGCTGGAGGACTGAGGAGTACAAGCGTGATCAGGCTTCAGGAGGAAGATCCTGCGGTGAGGATAAAGAAGGTGTTGGGAGGAGGCCATGGGGAAGTAGCCCAGGGAGTTGTAGCTGTCACGCAGCTGTTACAAGAAACACTGTAGACAGTTGCAGTCCACAGGGCCCTGGGCTGGAACCCGGAGTAGAGGACGGGCCTGGGTTCCCCCCATCCCCCTCAACTCCCTATCTGAGACAAGAGGAGGTGACCTGGACTGTGGGTCCCACCAGAGGGGAAGGTCCCTGGCCTATCCCCGGACCCACTAGGTGGGTCAGCAGAGACTGTGGGGATTGTTCTCCTCCTTTTCCCCATGCTGGCCAGTGCTGAGGTTAGCTGAATGAACGGCAGGTTTGAGCCACTTGCAAAAGTGGCCAAACTGAGGGCTGCCGTGAATCTCTGAGACAAGTAAATCTGCCAATAAGCACAGGACCCTCCAAGGCAGAGGAGGAACTTTGTCACAAATATTTTACATGTCTTATTGGCACAGGTGAAAAATTGGCCTTAATAATTTGTGTAACAAGTGGTTGAAGTGTGTTTTTCCTCTCAGTAAATCACAATACACTTTTTCATAATTTATCAGCCTGCTATGTTTCTGCCACACAAAGAGGCTACTCTCTGTTGGGGTAACCAAAATGGCTAACCACATTGCTAGAGTTTTGACAGAAGTGGCTGGCTAGTGGCTTAGGCATAAAGTACATGTAACCCTAGAATTAATCATAAACAGCTGTGAAGTTGTTCCATTGTGGTGACTGGGAGCTTTGTGGCTGATTTTAATGGGAACAGAGAGCACTCAGGATAGAGTGAATCATTTACTTGCTCCCCAGCTCAGATCTTTCAAAAGCAACTAAGGACTATGATAAGCCCTTTATAACCAAACTTTGCAGGATGGAAGCAGAATTTGCACTGCTCCAGGAGACATTCTGCCTTTGGAGGACAAAGGCCGTACGAATGCCACAGGGGTCATGCATGCTATGCCAGAGCAGCAAATGTTATGCATCTTTTAAAAATGAGTTCAGTGACTTCATAGCTTTCTTTGACAGTGTAACAAGGTTTGTGGATGGGGGGAAGCAGTAGCTGTGGTATACGGGCAGTCCTCTGACTTACGACACAATTGGTTCCTGATAATTGTGTCATAAGTCGAAACATCATAACTTGGAGCCACAATCCACTCCAATTCAGAAATGTCGTAAGTCCCATTTGTCATAAGTCAAACGTTGTAAAGTCGAGGACTGCCTGTATCTTGACTTTAGTAAGGCTTTCATACTGTTTTGCATGACCTTCTCATAAACTAACTAGGGAAATACAGCCTAGATGAAGCTACCATAAGATGGGTGCATAATTGGTTGGAAAACCGTTCCCAGGGAGTAGTTATTCCCAGTGGTTCACAGTCAAGCTGGAAGGGCATATCAAGTGGGATCTGGCAGGGATCAGTTCTGCATCCAGTTTATCAATCGTTGAATCGTAGGACTGGAAGGGGCCTGAAGAGGCCAATAATTTAGATAGTGGCACAGAGAGTACACTTGTAAAGTTTGTGGACGGTACCAAGCTGGGAGGGGTTGCAAGTGCTTTGGAGGATACGATTAAAATTCAAATTGATTTGGACAAACTGGAGAAATGGTCTGAAGTAAATAGAATGAAATTCAATGAGGACAAATGCAAAGTACTCCACTTAAGAAGGAACAGTCAGTTGCACACATACAAAATGGGAAATGACTGCCTAGGAAGGAGTACTGTGGAAACATGTCTGGGGGGCAGAGTGTATCGCAAGCTAAATATGAGTCAATAGTGTAACACTGTTGCAAAAAACACAAACATCATTCTGCGATATATTAGCAGGAATATTGTAAGCAAGACACGAGAAGTAATTCTTCCGCTCTACTCCACGCTGACTAGTCCTCAACTGGCATATTGTATCCAGTTCTGGGCATCACATTTCAGGAAAGATGTGGAAAAATTGGAGGAAGTCTAAAAAGCAACAAAAATTATTAAAGATCTAGAAAACATAACTTATGAGGCAAGATTTAAAAAACTGGGTTTGTTTAGTATGGAGAAGAGAAGACTGAGAGGGAACATGATAACAGTTTTCAAGTACATAAAAGGATGTTACAAGGAGGAGAGAGAAATTTTCTCCTTAACCACCAAGGATAGGACAAGAAGCAATGGGCTTAAATTGCAGCAAGGGTGGTTTAAGTTCGACATAAGGAAAAACTTCCTAACTGTCAGGGTAGTTAAGCTCTGGAAAAAATTGCCTCAGGAGTTTGTGGAATCTCCATCACTGGAGATGTTTAAGAGCAGGTTAGACAAACACCTGTCAGAGATGGTCTAGGTAATACTTAGTCCTTGCCATCAGTGCGGGGGCTGGACTAGATGACCTCTTGAGGTAGCTTCCAGTTCTATGATTCTATGATTCAAGCAGTAGGCCACCAGTGCATGTGGCAAGGGGCAAGGCTACAGCCTTGGTTACAGCCATACCCTATCATGCCCCATTTACGGGTCCTGCATTTGTTGCTCTGTGCAAGCCCTGGGTTTTAGCTGTCCTCTGGACAGGTGCACAAGGGAAGGGCTTACTCTACCCTCATTTGTACACCCATGCAAGAACAGGCAGAACCTAGCTGTACATCTTTGTCGCCAGTATATCTACACCCCAATATTGCAGACCTTACACTGAGAGAACACCCAGTGAGGAAAGGAAGTTTTTGGCCAATTAAAAAGAGCAGGATCAGGCCCTTATATATAGCCTCAGCCACAAAATATAATGCATGTGAACTTACTGTGTTTTCCCGTCTAAAAGGGAAAAGGGCACACATTTTTAGACATAATTGGATTTAACTGGTGGTGTCTAATTATTGCCTTTCATTTCATTGTATTGTAAAAGAGGCAAGAGAAAACAATGTGTTTAAGGAAGGAATAAAAGTCATACACATGAAAGAAGAGAGGCAGTGTGGTCTAGTGGTAGAGCACTGAATTGAGACTAAGGACACCTGGATTCTATTCCCACCTTTACCACTGGGCTACTCTGTGACCTTAGGCAAGTCACTTTGCCGCTCTGTGCCTCAGTTTCCCCATCTATAAAATGGCAATAATGATACTGACCTCCTTTGAAAAGCATTTTGAGAGCTATTGTGAATAACACTATATGAAAGCTTTATTAATATTCTTATTTATAGAGTTGTTATATAAATAAAAAGGGTTGTAATAGCAACTTCAAAATATCAAAAATAATTATTTGCATTGAGTATAAGCGCCATCAAAACAATGGGAGACAGCATGATGCCTGTTATGTGACAAGTTAACATTGTGCAGCACTGACATTTACAGAAGAGCACTATTTTTTATTGCATTTGCCATATCCACTGATGTCCTTCTCTAAAACAAAGGTAACAGGAAAAGCATTTCAATTTTATTTTTAAAAGATTGAGATTCAGTATTATTAACAACTTTTCCCCTGAAAGCCAAGCTCTATATCAGTTTATGAGGTAGTAACAGAGATGCCAAAGTTCTTTGCCATCATGTTCAAAGAAAATTATCAGGCAGAAAAGCCATGGGATGAAGAAGATGAAATTATATTATCTCATGGCAGTGTGTTTCAGAACTGTAATTATTGTTTGTCCTTTGTGGCTATCACAAGTGTTGATAAATGTAATTATTTTGTTTGCTTTCCCTTGACATTGGTAAAACTAATGTATTTCAGTCTTGTATGAGGGAGAAGAGGTATTTGTCAGCTGATCCTACCCACACTTGTTACTGGAAGTCGTGCTGACTACATGTTAAGTAGTCATTGAAGTCCAGTAGTAAGTGCTGGCAGGTTCTAGCCAAAGAAACGGACGCAAATGCATGTGAAGGAACTTCAAAGTAGGGACTGCACACGTTTAAAGGATGAAACTCTAGAGGCTGAAATCTTTGTTTGTTTTTTTGCAGGGACCCCCAGAGTTTGTATCCACCTGAAGTTAGTAACGCAAAGCTTCAGTATGCCGGATGGGGGCCAAAGGGGCAACAACTGGTAAGATAGCACAAGCATGGGAATGAGTTTATACAAACACATACCATTGTAATTTTGCAAAATAATTATAAACAGATATTGTGCCAACTAGACCCTTTTCTCTTAGAGCCATTCTTCACGGGCTGATTTCTTACAACCAACATAGCAGATATAAGTCTGGAGCGTTTATGGGATATTGTCCTCACGCTATTAAAATCCTAACTCATCGCTGAATGTTGTGGCCCCAACTTTTCAAAAGTGGGCATGGTAGGTTGTGCCTGTCCATCAGCACACACCCAACTTGTACATGCTCAATACACTTGTACACTCAAAGCATGGGGATACATTGGCATTTTGTGCCTGCACATACCATTGCTCATGTGCAAAATATCAAAACATATGTTTGTTGACAACAACCCAGTGAAGCCATGATCCCCTCAGCGCTACTGCAGTGTAAATATTTAATAGAAGAAAGTATTCCATAGGCAACATCACCAAAGCTTTGTTTTCCACTTATCTAGTATAAATTGTCTCCTTTCGTGCTGGCTCTGCCCTGCTCCAGTACAACCCTTCCTCAAGTCCCTTCTGTTGTTCAGTCCTGCATGTTTCTAAAAGGAGTTGATTTAGCAATAGCACCTATAGCATCTGTATAGGGGTTGTTCTTAATATTAAGAAATGTATGTCATTTATTAATACTCTATAGTAGGAAAAAATAGATTTAGTTCAAACTGCTGATTATTTGAAATATAGAAAATGAGCTCTTTGTCAATAGCGACTTGAGATCCTGGATTTGATTCTCCTGGTGTCCTGCGTAGGGCAAACTTCTCTACACTGGTCTGCCAATATATCATAGCTGAAACATCCCTGCTTCATGAGAGGTTTCTGCTTCCATGGAGCGTCTGTAATTATTTGTGCAGACCCAGAACGGTAGCTGGGACATGGCAGTTTAAGGCTAAAATGTATTGACAGACCTGTGTAGAGATGAGCTATGTGTACACAGCAGCTTCCACAGAGCTACTGTGAATTTGCACCCAAAGTTGGCCCACAATGGCTTGGGAAATGGACAAACGTAGACAAGGACCCAAATCTGCAGGGGTGAAAAAGGGAGCCCTCATGGAGTGCATTGTTCCCAAAATTGTCATGGTCTCTTTGTGGCTCAGGCAGGTTTCCATGCGGTGAGAGTTTGTGCAAGCTCAACTATGTCAGCTCACAGCTCCTGCCACCTTAGACATGTCCTTCCTTAGAGCAAGAATCCCCTGCCCTCATTTCCTGGTGCAAATCCAATATCTAAACTTTTGAAGAGTCAACTGTCACTTTTCTCAGAAGGCACAATTAAAAAGGGGCAGCCACAAGTTCTGTTAAGCAGGCAGTGAAGCCGTGATGTTTTTGCTTTTATAGAAAGCCTGTTTTAACCTTTGCAGTCTGATAGGCTTTCCATGTGGTAGAGCAGGAGGAGGAAGCCATGAATGTTTTTGATAGCGTTCTCTAGAGAACTTAACACCTCTCGTGTTGAAATTGTACCTTCTGGGAGAAAGTGTTTGTAGCCGGTTCTAAGGATTTGTGATCTGCTAGAGGCATTTGTGCTACTGCACGTTCAAATGGGCTTTTACACAGAAAATTAAGCTTGAAAAGTGGACAGGGGAACCACACTTGTTTTCCTCTCAAGAAATATTCTCACAGGCTAGCTGTCAAAATGTTCAATATGTGGCATTGCTGTAAGGAAGATAGCTTCAAAACACTGAAGGAGCCTTAGGTACTACTGTGGTTCATGACAAAGAAATGATGGCAGCTGCCACTGCCGGTGTCTAAGTCCTCTCTTCAGCACTGCAGCTTGTAGGAGACACAGGAATGACACTTGTCTTCCACTTCACCTGAAAAGTCAGCTGTGACGCAGCTGCAGGCCTAAGAGTTACTGCGCAAAGAGCCTTGCAATACTGATGCAGGGGTTTTCCTGCATGTGAAAAATGATTAGAAAGAGATTCCTCTTCTCACTGCACACACTCACACACCCTTCTCTCACTCCATCTGCCATGTGTACCATTGGACGCCTTCCGGATGTTGACCTTGTGGCCATTGTGGTGTGGATTGTACTGGCACATGTGAGGTTTGGGTTTGAGAGAGCGCTTTGGACTCCCGACTCGTGGAAATGTGGGGTGTTCACACTGACGTAACTCCATTGACTTCAGTGGAGTTGCTCCTGATTTCCACTGGAGTGGAGAATCAGGCCCTACTATTCCCAAGGGTGTGAAGAATCTGCTGACAGTCTTCTGGAGAACATCTTGCTGTCTTATAAGAATAAACTTTTTTTGGTGACCTGAGTGAAATGACTTGGTGAGCCTCATTCTGTTGGCTTCCTGTGCTATACATACACTTTGTGCTGATAAATAGCAGATGGCTGCTTCCAGAGTTAAAAATGTGGCACTTTTTATAAGGTATAAACAATAAGGTACTGGTGGGGACCTTTAACACAAGAATGAGAACAGTGAAAGAGGAAAGCTTGTAATACCATATGTGTAAAGACATTTTCATTAATAAGGAACTGCCTTTAGAAAAATTGAAGAATAGAACAAAAGAAGGGTTTTTTTTCCTGTTACTTAACTGTTTAATTTTTATTTTAGTACAAAGTGAGCTGTTCGAAGCATAACAAAACCTGGACTCTTCTAATCTGAAAGACAAGGCAACCTGAATTGTGCTTGGGCCGTTTCCTATGTCATGAGCGTATCTTCCATTCTTCAACAGATTTTCTGCTGGGGTCGATCGCTATAGTTACCTGCCATTCACTCCTAGAATCATAGTGTAATACTACTACCCATTACTTCAGATTTATTTGATGGTCATCAAGGCCACCCCTCTGTACTGAGACAGGCGTCGAGGACTGAGACTATCCCTGAGAGGTGTTTGTCCAAACTATTCTTTAAAATCTCCATCAATGGGGATTCCACAATGGGCAATTAATTTGCATCTTGGAAAAAGGAACATAGCCATACCAAAACCCAGACTGACCCTCCATTCAGTTCAATATCTTGTCTCTACCAACAGCCTATAATGAATCCTTCATGGAGAAATGAACAAATTCCATATCATACCTCCCCAATTGTTTAAGATGCAACATGAGACAAAATCTCTTCCTCTCTTCACTGGTGATCATTTAGGGCCTGATCCTGCATCACTGATGCCAATGGGACTTTTTTCCTTTGACTTCAGGAAGAGTGGGATCAGGGGTTTAATGCATTAGGATTGGTAGTCCTTATCCTGACTAGTGTAACTGCAGATATTCTTTTATATATGTGTCTAACCCCATTATGAATCTTGCAAAGATATTTACATCAACAGCCTCCTGGAACAGCAAGCAAATTATGTGTTTCATTAAAACAGTATTTCTTTTTGCCCCTTCTAAATATGTTGTCTTCTAATGTAGTTGTATTTTTGTCCTTGTATTTTGGGGTGAGTTAAGTTGAAGCTTTTACACAGGGGTGACAGTAAGTCGAGTGACTTACCAGTTCTCTGGGGCCAGCTCTGGCCCCCAGAAGGGGCGGGGCTTAGGGTGGAAGGGGTGGGGTTGAGGTGGTCAGAGCCAGCCCCAGCCCACTCTGTAAGGTCAGTGCCTCCCTCGCCCCCACCGGGGTAACAGCAGCAGCCCAGGGCTCCCCTCTTCTACTGCCCTGGCCCTTTAAATAGCCGCCGGAGCCCTGGGGAAGCGGCGGGGCTCCAGGTGCTATTTAGAGGACCGGGGCGGCAGAGGCAGCTGGAGCCCTGGCTTTTAAATAGCCCCTGGAGCCCCTGCTACCCCAGGGCTCCGGGGGCTATTTAAAGGGCCCGCGGCTCCCCTGCTTCTACCACCCTGTCCTTTAAATAGCCACCGGAGCTCTGGAGTAGCGGCGGCAGGGCTCCAGTGGCTATTTAAAGGGCCCGGGCAGTAGAAGCAGGGGAGCCCCAGGCCCTTTAAATAGCTGCCACAGCCCTGCAGCCGCTACCCCAGGGCTCCAGCAGCAGGGCTCTGGAGGCCCTTTAAATTGCCCCCTGGGGAATCCAGGCTGCCCCAGTATGGTGCACCGGCTCTTGCCGGTATGCCGTACCAGCGTGTACCTGCTTACTTTCACTTCTGCTTTTATATATACTGTGCATTTTATATACCTCTAGCTTATTGCTATTTTTGCTCTGTTCCTTGCCAAGCTAAATAATTTTAGACTTTTAAACACAATGTTGTTGTTAAAAGAAAAGGAGTACTTGTGGCACCCTAGTAAGCTGTGGCTCGCGAAGGCTTATGCTCAAATAAATTGGTTCGTCTCTAAGGTGCCACAAGTACTCCTTTTCTTTTTGCGAATACAGACTAACACGGCTGTTACTCTGAATGTTGTTGTTGTTTTCAAAAAATTCAAGTATGTAGTCAGGCCTTGAGATGCACTAATGTAGACTTTCCAATTACATAAAACAAATTAGTAACATATTGTGGCATAGATGCCCAGGAAAAAAGGGCAGGATAAAGAAGATGGGAAAAAAACATTCTGTGTTCCTTATTCAATATTCCAAAACTACTTAAACTGCACCAGTGTGTATTGGTCATCTGCTTCCCAGTGGACATAATGCCTTCTCACAGGGAAGCAATCCAGACTCCAAAACCAAAGGATCTGTTTTTTCTCTTTGGAAAAAGGTTGGTAAGGTTCTGAGAGTTACACCCAGTCTTTCACACATTAAGAGGAGAACAGACTATTTGATTGTTTATTTCACTTGAGTCTTCCCAGTCTTCGTAAACTCCATGGGCTGTGCTGAGCTTATACGTGGTGCAGCTGAGAGCAGTGAAGGGATGGGGGAAGATGGCTACCTGTGAGCCTCATTTCTGCTCCTCCAATCCTGGCCTGATGGAAGCCCAAAATGGCCCTTAGAGTGACTCAGATCTGCTCCAAGCTGTGTCAGCTGTAGGGCCGCCATTAAGTGTTTTGTCACCCGGCGGTGGGGGGAATGTTTTTAATTCTACCCACCCACCCCCACTCACCAAGTCACTCTCCCAAAGGTAACAAGAA